TTGAAGAATTCACCCAACTCTAGCTCTAACCAACCATCTTCCCTCTCTAATGGGTACCAGTAATCATTTTGTACATCTTCACCTTCTGCATGCAGAAACACAGTACGCTGTAAACCTTCAGTTCCACTGAGTCGAATAGTAGCTTCCATAGGTTCATTTCTAAATTCATAAGCACTGGCTGCCAGCTTGAACACTAGGTATGCCTTATAATTTGTCATTGAAGAAAGCTTGCAACTACCAATCCTCCCGTTGATTTCAAACCAACAAACATCAAGAAGCTTTGCAACCTCAGGGAACCTGCTTGTAATTATGCATGAATTACAGACACTAATCTTGATGTATTTATTCATTCAGTTGGTGAAGACACCTAAAAACAGTCAACTACATGCTTGAATTCTTTTGGTTGGGTGTGAGTGTAAGTGCGTCAAGCATGCCTTTTGTCTGCATTTTCTGTGTGGTGTGCGTGTATGAGAAAGAGAGAGAGAAACCTGGAATCTGGTATGGAGTTCCAACTCCAATGATATCACCCCATGTAATTGCGAGGTCCCTGGCAGCCAGCGTGTAACATTTCTTCCCACTCCTTTTGTGCAGTGAAAAGCTCTGTGCATGCATGTTATACAATTAAAGACTCAACTGGTTCTGAAAAAGTTGGCCACAAAAAAAAAAAAAGAAAAAAAAGAAAAGAAAAATAATACTGAAAGAATAATTTGGAAAAGAGTAACGATAAAGCTTCGAAATATCAACAGGGAACCAAAGGAACACATGAACTCACCACAGAAAGGACATAATCATCATCAATCATTATATCACCAACAAGAACATAATCCTCTAGCAAGCATATTCGGAAAAAAAAGAAGCATTGAATGCTTAGACAACATATCCATTAAGTTTTGTAAATTATACCAATAAAAATCTTTGTCGTTTGCTGCTGTATATATAGACATGAATTCAGGCCTATCAACACAAAAGAAAATTACAAGAAGTCATGACTCTTAACAAGTCATATATAGCTACACACAAAATAAAAGTTAAAACTCCTTAAGAAGTTTGTTTAAAAAAAATGTTAAATAGTTCTTAGGCAAAATCATTCACAGCAGACAAAAAGTGCATAGCTCAATTAGCTACATACAGCAATTGATCCAAAAAGGAAGGCATTAGCAGAATTTGGTTTTATTCAAGCGTGCAAACTGGGGTTATTCATACTCAGTCCAAACAATTAAATCTTATAATATGCACATATCGAGTGAATGCATATGGATTCAAGTATCTTACTGAGTGATAAAAACTGAAAAGATTAGTACTATATCTAAGATTGTAAGATTTAGGAATGCAAGATTTTGTCAAGGGTATGGTTGGTTTGAGGGAAATGGGAAACCAAAAATACCCTAAGAAAACACGTATTCCCTTATTAGATCAGTACCATATCTAATAATTCAAACACTCTTATTCATTACATGAGATAAAACTGCTAATATGCTAATTTCAAACTACCATACCAAATAGCTATTTAGTTGTTTTAATTTAACTTTTGCATTCTATGTTCTCGGCCCAAAAAAAAAAAAAAAAAAACAATAATAATGATAACTTTTGCATAAAGTTTAACTAGATGATTTTACATAGCTAATACATAGTAACTGCAATTTTCTTCCGATACATACGTTGAGTATTTTCACTTAAATTAATTTATTTTTTTCAATTATGATTTGTTTGTTAAACAAAATCATAAGTTAATTTGTATAAAATTAATGAACTAGGAGAACTAAAAAAATCCTAAGAGGGAGTAAATCATTTTCCAGTGAACACAACATACCAAACTATAGGATTTATAAGGGTACAGGGAAATGAAAAGATCAAAAGGCAGGTGGGAGTCGGATGTATAGATTTACCTTTTTGCCATCTTCAATGAGGACTGGATGATCGCAGAGACTGAGATAAAGGTCCTTTAAGGAAGAAACGGAGGGCAATGCGGGAACCAAATTCTGGTAATCGGGCGGCAGGAATTTAACCCAAACGGCATCGGAACTGGCGAGAGAATTGAAAAAGGGAAACTAGTGACAATCTACAGGCATCGAGAGGACTGGTTAAGGAGATGATGGTGGCGAGGCAATCGGCGGGAGGAGCGCGGAAATCCAGCAACTCTGTATCGATTCGTTGACCGCTCGTACCAGTACTCGTTGTCACCGAAAAATGTGGAATCCAGAATGCAAGGATATTGGAGTTTAATAAAAGATGAGCAGTGCTAGGAGCACTTGCTCCCGCCGCACCCTGTATTCTCCAACCAACACATTGCAACATGCTTTGACAGGTTATCCCAAGAATGAATTTTTAACGGGTGCACCAGCCCTAGAAGCCCATTTCACCGTAAGCCTTACACTCTGCTTGTATTGGAGAAGTTGGAGGGGAGGGGGAGGGGAAGGGAGGAGAAGAGAGCAATCTTTGATTGTTTAGATTAATAATTTTAACAGAGAGAAGGGAGATTGTCCCGTCATCTGTTTTTTAATAAAAAGAAGAGAGCAATCTTTGGTTGAGAAACTTTCTTTCCTAAAAGCATTTTAAATTTTTTTATATAAAGTTATTTATATAATTTTATATATTAATATTATAATAAAATATAAATAAAAGTGATAATTTTTATTTTTTTATGTAATTTTTAA